CCGACGAGATCATGCGAACACTGGAGCAATGCTACGGAAGGCCAGAAAGACTAGTGGACATGGCTTTCGCCGATCTACGGAAGCTGCCGAAGATTGGACCTACCGCGAACGATCTTAACATGTTTGCGGTGAAGCTACAGAACGTCGTGGCCGTCCTGAGGAACGTGCAGCCAGAGTACCTACTTAACCCACTGCTGACCCGGGAAGTCTTGGACAAGATGCCGAGCTACCTTGTATCGAGTTGGTGCAACTTCGCCGAGTCACAGCCGGGCCCGAACGCCGATCTACTCAAACTTTCATCGTTCCTGATGAAGGAAGCTGACCGCTGCATGCGATACAACTATGTATCGAACCTCACCGCACCCTCCACATCGCAACGAACACGAGAAACGCCTCGCCCCGCCCCCAGACCGGAGGCAAAGAAGAAGACGGTGTACGTCGCCACCGAAGAAGCACCGCAGCGCAGATGCCTTTCATGCCAGGAAGCCCACACACTACCTAGCTGCCCAAAGTTCAAGCAGCTAACGTATGATGACCGATGGGAGCTGGTGAAGAAGGAGGGCCTTTGCTTCAAATGCATCGTGGGCCGACACCGTCGATTGAACTGCCGACAGAAGCTCTGCGGAATCAACGGATGCAAGCGACCGCATCACCGACTGTTGCACGCAGATGAGCGTGGAACGACGAACGACGTGGCTACGAGCGCGACCGACTCAAACGCGGCCGCAACGGAACCAGCCACCACCGAAACGACGACGGCTGCCACGACGACAAGCCGCGCCGTCAAATTGAAGATTTGCCCCGTGACAATCACGGGCAAACGTGGGAGCTGCGACACCTACGCGCTCTTCGACGAAGGCTCGACGGTCACCTTATTAGACGACGACCTGGCGCGACAGATCGGCGCCGACGGACCGACCGCACAGCTCAACGTCCGAGGAATAAACAAGAAGCAAAGTCACGTGCAGAGCCGTCGAGTGAAGATTGGAATAAAAGGAACGCGCAGTGACCAGATCTTCAAAATCAACGCTCGCACCATGGTGGGCCTGGACCTCACGCCGCAATCGATACCGGCGGAGGCGATGAAGCTACGACACCTAAGAGATCTCGACGAGCGAGAAGTCGTATACAAGAATGCGAAGCCTCGCATTTTGATCGGGACGGACAACTGGGAGCTCATAGTGACCCGCGAACTACGGTCAGGAAAAACCAAGGAACCAGCTGCCTCCAAAACCGAACTCGGATGGGTAATCCACGGGACGGCGCCATCGAGATCGCTTCGCCGCACCGAGGATATCCTACATGTCGTCACGACCGAAGCATCAGACGACCGACTCGAAGAACTCGTGTCGAGACACTTCCGGATCGACTCACTCGGAGTGTCGCTCGACGCATCACACGTCCGCGAAGAGGACAAGCGTGCCGTCTCCACGTTCGAACGCACCGTGAAGCACAAGGACGGCAGATACGAAGTGGGCCTGCCTTGGCGAAACGACGACGCCAAACTGCCACGGAGTTACGACTCAGCACTCCGCCGGCTCACAAATCTGGAGAACAAGTTGAGAAAAGATCCACGCGACAGGGAAGAATACCAGCGGAGGATCGACAACCTCGTAGAAAAAGGATACGCCGAACCCTGCGACGGCTCCGAGGACGCTAGCCCCGTCGCATGGTACCTGCCGCATTTCGCCGTCAAGAATCCCAATAAGCCCGGGAAGCTGCGACTGGTTTTCGACGCAGCAGCAAGAATTCGAGGTGTCAGCCTGAACGATCACCTACTCGAAGGGCCGGATCTGCTACGATCGCTGCAGACCATTTTGTTCCGGTTCCGAGAGGGCGCATACGCGGTGACAGCTGACATCGAGGAAATGTTCCTGCGGATCAAGATACGCCGCGAGGACCAACCCGCACAGATGTTCCTGTGGCGCGACTGCAGGCAGAATGAACCACCGCGCAAGCTGAAGATGACATCGATGATCTTCGGCGCATCGAGCTCACCGTTCCTCGCACACAGCGTGAGGGACCACAACGCGAGACAGCATGCTGAGACGCACCCTGCAGCACTGCGCGCAATCACCGAAGCGCACTACATGGATGACTTCGTCGACAGCTTCAATGATCCGAGAGAGGCCCACGAAGTCATCACCCAAGTCGACGCAGTGCACCAGAAGGCTGGATTCCACCTGAGGGGATGGAACAGTAACAATAGGAAGCTACTACAAGCCGTGAACCCGGATAGTAGAGCCAAAAGCGGGACGACGACGTTTGGAGACACAGAGAAGACATTGGGCCTGCTTTGGGATGCAAATACCGATCGGCTGGGCTTCAACACCGCCCTGCCTAGAGTCCCACTGCCAGTGAAGTCTCGACAACGCCCGCCGACGAAAAGAGAAGCATTATCGACGGTGATGAGCATATACGATCCGCTCGGACTGCTCAGCTGCTTCACAATCACAGCGAAGATAACTCTTCAAAAACTATGGCGCCTCAAGACCGGCTGGGACGACCCTCTACCATCCGACTTGAGCGAGGACTTCGATGCATGGTTGACAAGCCTGCCAGCAATCGACCAACTACGGCTACCCCGTAGTTATAACGGGGGGAGAGAAGTGCGTCGCCGTGAACTTCATATATTCTGCGACGCCAGCGAAGAAGCCTACGCAACGGCGGCGTATTGGAGATTGCATTACGGAACCGGCCATGTCATCGAGACAGTCCTGATAGCGGCAAGAGCTAAGGTTGCGCCCTTGAAGACCCAAACCGTGCCGCGCCTGGAGCTTCAAGCGGCCCTCATCGGAACGCGACTAGCGAAGGCAATCAAAGAAGAACACCGTGTCAACGTCGACGACACCGTGTACTGGAGCGACTCTCAGACGGTGCTTCATTGGCTGCGGAATGGAAGCAAGCGCTACACACCATTCGTCGCACACCGTCTGGGAGAAATAATTGAGTCATCCAGACCGCAAGACTGGCGATGGATACCGACGCATCTGAACGTAGCCGACGTTGCCACACGCGCCGGATATACGCCAGCCAACGAAAACGACCTGTGGTTCACGGGACCATCCTTCTTGAAATTACCAAGATCGGAATGGCCGAAGCCACCAACGGATCGAGAAGATGACGAAACGACGGAAATAACACACGTCATCGCGCACACAACAGAGAGAAACGCTGGCTACGAGAGTACCTACCGACCCTCGTACCACGCCGCGACCCACAACGTCCACGAAGCAGCGAAGTACGGACCGGAGACGTGGTTATCATAGCCGACCACGCTCTGCCTCGAAACACGTGGCCACGCGGCATCGTAGCCAATACCTACCCTGGACCTGACGGCGTGATTCGGAACGTGGAGATAACGACAAGAGGAGGAACATTTCGGCGGCCGACATCGAAGCTGATCGTCGTCGAACCTGCACTCTCCACGGAACGATGAGAGAGGACGCGCTGCGCGACGGGCACGGGGCTGCCAACCGGAGGAGGCTGCGGAGATCCTTCGCCGGGGGGAGACTGTTGACGACAGCCACGTGCCGAAAAATGTACAGATCGAACGACCAATCACAGCGCCTACATTTGCGGAATTCTCAGGGAGCCCATTGGCTGCGTATGCGCCGTCCGCACGGTGGGGGCGATTCCCCCACCCGGCGCGCGGGCGCAAAACGCGCTGTGATTGGTCGGCCGCCGCGCGTCACTAGTAGCTAAGTTAGATGTTAAGTGTAGAATAAGGGTAGGGCCAAATTTGTAAATATTCGTAGTCAAGTCAAGTCAGTCAAGCAGTATAGTCAAGCAGTAATAAGTAGCCAGTAAGAAGAAAAATAAAACGTCTATAGAAGAAATCCGTCTTTGTTTTGCACCATCATCAACAGTTATACAGCATCGTCTACAGTTTGGTCCATAGAGCCGGATCAGCACCCTCAATACTAATAAAAAGTATTTATAGATAAAATAATTAATTATTTATCGTTAATTACATATCTAAATTGGATAATTTAGGGTATCATGGTATAAGTAAGTACTTATATAGTTAACACTATAGCCAATTCTATCATATAGAACACATATTTGAAAAAAAATATAGTTAATAAAATGATTTTTAATTTAAAGAAATGACTTGAAATGTTGGGCTTATCTCTACAAGAGATCTCTTTCAGTCAAACAAACTGGTCTAGACGACCAAGCACAAAGGTGACAATACTTATTTAATAAGTTCGGACTGGCCGAGAAATTATCAAATTTTGACGAGGTTAGAAATATACCTAAAAATTAATTTTGGTCACCCATCCTATGGCTGGCCGTTGCGTAAATTGCTTAACCCCCGCACCGTAGACCGAACTCGCTGACCACCGCGCAATCGATAGTATACCTATAGTAAAACATATTTAAAATGACCTTGTAAATATAACTGTTCCTTATCTTTTATTTTCGAATTTCTTATCGAATAGCATAATTATTATGTATAGCACGATTATCACGTTGCCATGGACAGTAATGTTCATAAGAATTAACATAATATTATATCATCTGTGACATATTTACATACCTACCTACAAAACAAACATCATTTATATAATTATATTTAAAACAATATCTCGTATACATTATTGAATTTTTTTCAGCATTCTGCCTAGCGGCCATCTATAAATTACGTCACACGTTAGGAGGGGGGTCGACGAACTGTGACATTAGAACAATATTTAGTAGAATTTGTATAGACAAACATGTGACAGGGGGGGGGGGTATTAAAAATCATGAGTTTTGTGTGACGTAATTTATGGACGACCCCCTACCAGACACTATAATAGACTAGCTGTTTTTGGCGATTTTGACCATATAAATTATAGCCTATGTTACCCGCGTATGATGTACTTAGCTCGAAGCAATCAGTAGTAGGTCAAAATATATCTAAAATTTGTCATGGACCACCCTCTTGAGCCATCCAATAAGGGCTCGAGATCCTGCAGAAAGGCTGATTGTGATGTATATATTTTTGTTTCCAGTCAGAAAACTGGCTACAGAACAAATCAGCCCTCTAGTCAAGAAAATGGAAGATGAGCACCGCATTGATGACGGCATTAGACAATTGCTGTTCGACAATGGTGTAAGTTTGCATTTTAATTTAAAAATAACATCTAAATTAGAAGTACTAGGTCTCATATTAGTACATGCACGTGCGAATATAAACTACTTTAACTAGTGTAAACGCAGAACAACCGCAACTTAGCCGTAAATCTAAGGCAAGATATGTGACCTTATTCGAATATAATAGGGATGATGACTAATTTTTGTTTGTTTGTCCGTCAGGTAGAGTGTTAAAAAATATTAAACACGTATTTTTTTATTTTTTTCGTAATTATATAATTACGGCGTTACATTGAGTTGAAATTTCGCATGACGTCACGTTAGAGTACGTTTTCTACTCAACTGTGACGTAGCGAGCCCCCACTCCTCAACTTTAATGCCTGTTATCTAATCTATTTCTTGTTAAATTGAAGTAAAAAAAAACGTATCTAATATTTTTCTATTATCTGACTGACGGACTAAATAGAATTGCATTTTTTTTACCCAGTCATCATCCCTATTCTCATAACAATAATATTCGTCAAAATATTTTTTGTATTATTGTTCCAACTACAAATTCTAAATTCAATAAGATTATTGAAAATATAAAATATATAGAAAGACAAATATGTTACCAATATAGTATTTCCAACCGTCCTGTTTTCTCAGGACATGTCCTGATTTATAGTGTCTTAAGTTTGAAGTAGGGTCCAGTACGGCAATAGGGTTGATGACTAATTTTTGTTTGTTTGTTCGTCGGGTAGATTGTTGAAAAATATTGAACTTTTTTTTTCGTAATCATTAAATTACAACGATACATTGAGTTAAAATCGCATGACGTCACACTTTTGTACATTTTCTACAATACTGTGACGTAGCGAGCCCCCACTCCTCAACATTGCCTGTGATCCAATTTCTTGTTAAATTTAAGTAAAAAATATGTATCTAATATTTTTCTATTTTCTGACTGACGGACTAAAAAGAATTTTTTTTTTTTTACCCAATCATCGACTTATTCTTCTAATCTTAGCGTAATTGTAAATAACACTTCAACTACAACGCTTAATGACATAATGCTTGTTACTAGATCACAATATAATAAATCTGTCACCACTGTTTGTGAGGAAGACATTGCAAGTAGTTGAGATTCCATTGAAATTCTACTATTACCCAAAATTTGTCAGTATTGAGATCCTCGGTTTTTAAGGCACTCCAATGAGGTAATGTAATGTCAATAAGGTTTTAAAATTCAAGCGGCGCTTTTGCGTTACGAGAATTATACCTACTAAAATGTTCTTCGTAATCTTTCACGTTTCGGCCGTGTTCTAACCATTCTTACCTAAGTGAAACTGGCGAATTTCGATGGTGCGTACATCCAAGACAGAATTACTTAACTTCAAATAGATTTGTACAAATAAATAACTTAGGAATAAGCTGTAATTCAATACGAGGAAACTGACTTATATTTATGACAGGTAAAACGTGAGAGAGTTATAGAGTACACCTACATTAAATGGATACAATACTCTATTTTAGAGTACGGTTGGCAACCCTAATCCGTATCTATCTCATTGCTGCATGTAATTAGATAAAATAGTAACAGCCTTGCCTTATATCTTCTCTTAACCACTTATAAATATTTTAAGATTTCAATTAAACTGAATATATATTTTAATTCATCATCGGACCTTTTTACGTCTCCACTGCAGGGTTCAAGGCTTCTTTAAGGATGATTAAGGCTGGGCCATGACCATCCAAACTGGCCCAATACGGATTGAAGGGTATTAATGACTGTAAATGGAGCCGGGAGCAACGGCTTCACGAGCCTTCTAAAGCACGGTGTAGGTCGAGTCCCGTGATCGCCTCTCTTAAAGTTGCTTGAGAAAAACGATCGCGTGCCACAGTGCTTGTCTACTAAGCCACCGAACCACTCATTCAATATTCTAATTATATTTGATAAATACATTTATAACGTTATATTGATATTTCTATCATTAATGAAAACCTGGTTTTATTCTCAGCTCATGGGCATTGAAACCCCAGCTGAGTACAGCGGTTCAGGTTGCGGTTTTCTGACAATGATGCTAGTAGTTGAGGAACTGTCCCGAGTAGATCCAGCTGTCGCTGCCTACGTAGACATCCACAACACCCTCGTCAACTCACTGTTCATGAAATTGGGGACTGAAGAGCAGAAAACTAAATACCTCACTAAATTATGCACGGAATATGTAAGTATGAGTTGTTTATTTTACTTATTACAAAAGTAGTTGCGACAATTTGCTATATAAATTCAGAATCTTCTCAGCGAACACTTTTTGTTGTTACCCATACCCGTATCTATAGTCGAGTAAAATTACTCGAGTAAAAGTTTGAACGAAGTAAGAATACTATTTTTATTAGCTATTAACAGCTCCTATTTCAAAATTACTGCTTAAGGTTATGCCACTTTTTCTAGTAATTGCTTATTTTGTCTATAGATACGAGTGTAAGAGTGCGCCGACATATTACGTGGGCCGCAATATAGTTTTTTACACATCACATACACAATTTACATACCGGTTACAAATATGACACAAAAAATTGACAAAAAAAAGAAAAGATACATATTCATTATGTATGACAAATACAAATAATAATTAATGTAAATATCTACTTATACCACAGAACACAGAAAGACATCTGTAACTATAGCATAATATCCTATCTAAACTTCAAAAAGTCTAATAAACGAAAGAAGGATAGAAGCTGAAACCACTACAAATACAACTAGTTTCCCTCGACTTTACCCGCGTAAATTATAACCTTTATCACTCGCGTATGATGTAGCTTCTCGTAGGTAAAAGAATAATTTTCATATAGAATAATTTCGTAATCGTTTTCATAAACGGATCAGTTTTTCTGACGATAAAAACAAACAAACAAAGTTCGTAACTTTACCACTTTATAATATTAGTATAGATTTAGTACTTGATCGTGGAAATACAACTGTGCAAGAATAGATTAAAGCAATTCATTAAAATACATCAAATTGATTGTGATATAAACAAAATGAAAATAAATTGTTATTGCATCATATTTCTGATTGTTTATACTGACCTAAAACATGACATGGAGTTATCTGGACAAAAAAGTGCATAATTATTTATCTCTAAAGTTCGTAACACACGGCTAAGATATGATAATATTTTGTAACCCTTTTAATTTTTAATATTTCCATGTCTTAGGATATATATTTCCGTATCGCTTGGCATCTTAGTATACTTAATATGAAAATATTATGTTATCTAAGCCGTGTGTTGGGCCATTGGATTGTATGGCGAGTGATATTTTATCTTAAGATATTTTTGTGCCGTTATATGTTGTATTACGACTTTTGTGATCCTTAACTAACGCTTTTTAACTAATTGTCGTTCCGAGTTGGATTCCCGGTCGTATTTACAGTTATCAACAAAAAAGGTAAAAAAATAACCTATTTACAGTTATAAAGGGAGCTTTACAAATCTCTTCATACAAATTATAGGCTACGTTGGAACGGACATGTTTCAAAATTCCTAAAAAATTTACTTTAAAAAAATTCGGCTTCACAAAACATAGGGTTCTGTTTGGTTTAAAAAAATCGTAGACCCGGGCCTGTCTGGTGTTCCTTCGTTCTCTCAGATACTACATAAGAGGGTTTTAGCTACTTTTCTTGGAATCCGGGCAATCTATGTGGTTATCTGATATATATTCGGTTCGAGTCATGTTTTACATTTATATTCGGATAGGAATATATCCGTTTCATACTAACGTATGAAAGAATATGCAACAAAACAACGACTCATCATGACACATAAATATATTTCTACCTTTATTAATTCCAATCTAAAAGCTTTAGATTGTGCCGTCTACTCAATACAAACAGACATACAGCCAGTTGCACAACCGACCATTAAAATTGTCATTAGTTTAAAGTGGCATTACCCATACAAATTTACATTCGTTAGAGCTTAAAGGCGTCATTAAACAATAATGGACGTTTGTGCAACTGACCATTTACCCGTTTCCATAACAGGGACTGACAGTTATCTCTACCGACTATTACAATAATCTCTCTCTCTCTAATATCTCTTAGATTTTTTAGACTGTAATCTTTCTATCCTAGGCTGGCAGCTTCTGTCTAACTGAGCCCACGTCGGGATCTGACGCGTTCGCTCTCAAAACTGTGGCCAAGAAAGATGGAGAACATTACGTCATCAACGGCTCCAAAATGTGGATCTCCAACTCGGATGTCGCGGGTGTCTTCTTAGTAATGGCCAACGCTGATCCGTCTAAGGTAAAAAATAACCATTTAAAATAAAAGCGCTGAAATAATTTTCGTGCCAGAAAAATTAAATAACAATTAAGGTGCTTTATATTTGATTTTTCGAATCATCATTATAAAGTCAAATAAAAATCCCTAATAGGTGGGTAAAAGTTTTAAAATGGTGCCTGTTTGAAGGGTAAAATGTGCTTTTTTTAATTTTTGAACATTAAACATTAACAATAATAATTTATTATTTGTAATCGATACTGACATTATACATATGATTTTTTTACATTGAAAATAAAATGTTCGTTATGAAACGGAACCCATTGATTATACTAATATAATACTTTCACTGGATATGTATGTATGCTTCAATAGGCAAGTTATTTATTTGATCCTTACAATTGGACAATTGGTGTCAAATAGGGTAGGTGCACCAATCCCAAGCAAGAACTTCGAATCTATTAACTTTTTGCATCTCCCGCCATTTCTTTTACGTCTGATAGCATTACCGTTTTTCTACCAATTATGTGATGATAACTAAAAGCTTATTATAAAAATAAACTTAATATCAATTACCTACATTATGATATGGTAAGGATTACAATAAACTTTTCGCATCATCAATATTAGTTTCGAAATGTTGCTTAATCGGTTGCTACTAGTGCACCCACCTTATATTATTTCTAACAATCTACTAGAAGCTACTAGAAGCCAAGACATGCCTTTTACGATCAATTTGATCATGTGCTATCATATGCTGAAGAATATGGATGATGCCTAGATAAAAAAAAGCTATTTACAGCCAGTTGCACAAACGTCCAATAATTTTGTCATTAGTTTAAAGTGACATACAGTCAGTTGCACAAACGTCCAATAATATTGTCATTAGTTTAAAGTGACATAACCGATACAAATTTGACATCCATTAGAGCTTAAAGGCGTCATTAAACCTTAATGGACGTTTGTGCAACTCACCGTTAATCCATCAATCTGTTAATAAAAAAATATTAGATAACTTTTTGCTTCAATTTCGGTTTAAAGATCTTTATTTCTCATCATGTTTTGCTGTTGCAATAATATAAACATTGTCAAATATTGACCCGATGTGGGTAGTCACATAATTAATGACTACACTGCACACGACGATGTACCACCAGATAACATCAGATAACTAAGAAGTTATAAGATTTTGGATTTTGTTTTGTCTTCAGAGCTACCGCCCGCAGAACATAGAAATCTTTCTGTGTTCTGTGGTACCGCCTAAATTGAGTTGAAATGTAATTTAATGATTACGCAAAAAATACCTTTAATAATGTTAAAAAATTTACCCAATGGACAGACAATAATTTAAAGAAAAACAAAAAACCCGACTGCGAAAAAACGAAATTATTTTTATTTTATACTTTTTAATTATCTATCGAGTTCATCTATCGAGCTTGGTGGTAAACTTTTTTTTTTTACTCGGCGACTGGGCGATGAATAAAAGTTATTTTTTTTTACCAAAAATATTTGTTCTTCATGCTTTTTCACTGTTTTTTTTTTGTTTGTATATCGTTTATACTTAAAATAAAAACTTAAATCAATAATTAAGAAAATTAGCGAGAATTATTGTTTAGTTAAACAACTTTAAATTGTTATATATCTTAAACTATTATTTAAAATGAAAAATGATAAAAGGAACCTAAAGATGATTTTAAAATACCTATTCAACGATACCACACTTGACATATTTCATCGACTTTTTTTTCATTTAGACAATATGGCATCTGGTTGTCGCTGTGGTGAATTTTGATTACTGTTGTATCTTTAGTGAGACTCGCAAAATTAAGACGAATCGATTGACGTAAAAATCTTCAAAATCGGCCTACGCATTTGGTCTCTAGAACGCCACATAGAAACATACATACATACATAGACTGATAAACACATTACCCTCCTTTGCGTTTTGCAGTCGGGTAAAAAGAAATTAGACATCTTCTCTACAATGAATGTCAAGGAAACAAAATACTGCGCGTATTCTGTATAAGGTGTAATATTATTATACGCCAGGAGATCGTGGAATGGATTAGTTAAGTGGGGTTCAGGGTTCAATTCACGAAAAATAATCAGCTGTTTCATACGAAATTGTAATACCCACAATAGTTGACGGTATGAAACAGCTGATTATTTTTGCGTGAATTCTGTGTTGCTCCCATAGCAAAAGTTGTTCAGTATACTTAACTAATCCACTGCACGAAGTCCTGGTATATAATCATATTACAACACCTTATATATTTATCGCCAAATTCTCTTTGCCTAACCCACAAGGCATTCGCCGTGGTAGATATATGATGAAGATTTACTTGTAGGGCTACAAAGGCATCACATGCTTCATAGTGGAGCGAGACACTCCCGGCTTGAGCGTGGCCAAGCCCGAGAACAAACTCGGCATCCGCGCGTCCGGCACTTGTATGGTTCACTTCGATAACGTGAAAGTACACGAGAGTGCCATCCTCGGAGAGTACGGGAAAGGGTAAGAATGGTGTATTACATTATCATCAGCCTTTCTACGTCCCCAATGCAGGGTCACGAGTAGGGTTGCCACCTTTTTTTCCCCAATTAAAGTACATTAGTTATTATAGGTACAAAAACAAAGTAAATTGAATCAAAATAATGTATTATTTATTTTTCTTTATTACTAAACTTAAAAATACATTTTCTTTTTATTTATCGATTCAGCATGAATCGATAAATTTTGTTTAACGAAAAAATACTTACGACTAAGCTTCAAAATCACAAACAAATGAAATCATACGACATAAAGTATTTTTGTGTACTTTATTTTTCTTATAGAGTATAGAGTACAATTGTCTGAAATAACGTACAATACTTTATTATAAAGTACGGGTGGTAACCCTAGTCACGAGCCGTATGAATCGGCAAACGGCATATTAATCACTTATCGAAAATATCTCTCTTATTTCTAATATTGTAATGGAATGTGACTTCACATTCTAATGAAGTCACAATTCAATAAGAGTTCTGTGTGAAATAAAACGGGGAGAAAAAAGCAGCCCTTGCTGAGTTTCTTGCCGGTTCTTCTCAGTACAAGGTCTCCCGTCGTAGTTTTGCGAACCGTTGGCGTAGTTTTCAACTTTCACGAGTCCTCTGTAAAAGCCTAAACTGAATAAACAATTTTGTTCTTTTTTTATTATTTTTTCCTTGTGGATGGTTAAGGAGGATAGGCCTTGACGCTGGTCCAATGCGGATAGGAGGGTGTTAACGACTACAAATGCAGCCGGGACCGACGACTTAACGTGCCTTCCGGAACACAGAGTGGATCAAGATAATAATTTTTGGTCACCCATCCCGTGCCCGACCCTTGCGAAAGTTGCTTAACAACAACGATCAAATCGAGGACCATCAAATAAATTATTGACCAAATCAGTAGACTAAGTAAATAACTAAGTAGTAAAGCCCGGCCAGATAAAATAAAAAGCGTACGCCATATAGCGGTAAACTATGGAAACTAGGGGGCGCAGATTGTTATGTATTTAGTAAATTATGATGTCATCAACATAAATCTCCTAAAAAAGAAAAAATGTTACAACTAAAAGAGAGAATGTGGAGCCTTCAGAGCGGAATCTTTTTTAATTTTCCTGGTCAGGCTTTAAGTAATATTAATTGTAATCAGATACAAATACGCGGCGGGCTTCCTGAACGAGGGTCGTATCGGCATCGCGGCGCAGATGATCGGCCTCTGTCAGGGTTGTATGGACGCCACCATTCCATACACGTTAGATAGGAAGCAATTCGGGAAGAGCATCTATTCATTTCAGGTAAAATAAATTTTTATATAGTATAAAATAAAACGCTTCTCGCTTTAAATAATAAATAATATCTATTTTTTTTTAATTTCTATTATTGTACCTAATGGAAAGTGACATCAAAGTGTAATAAAGTTAATTTCCAACTGACTTCTCTGTCTGAAATAAAACTGGGAGAAAAAGGCAGCCTTTGCCGAGTTTCTTGCCAGTTCTTCTCAGTACAAGGTCTCCCGCCTTAGATTTAATAACCGATGTCATAGTAAATAAAGAATCCAGGATTATAAAAAAAATCTATTTACTTAACATTTTTATAAGAGTATTTTTGTACTTTTTTGTTTATGTATCATACATGTATGGGTGACTGGCACTAGTGTCATAAATAGTATTCTTAATACAAAATGCTTAAAAAATCCACTTGGTCCCTGGCACCCTGAGATTGGAATCGAACCCATAACCTTTCGCAATCCGGGCGACTGCTCTAACCACTGACCACTGAGCTACCCAGGACCCAAGAGCACTGACGAATCTTTCAAGCACTTGTTACTTTTCGCTGCTACAGAGCGTATTTTCACTAATGTGCATCCACATCTCAGGGTGCCAGGGACCAAGTGGACTTTTTAAGCATTTTGTATTAAGAATAATTTTCGGTATGTCATTGTGAATGCAAAATTAATCAAAATATCATAAATAGTAGTCTGTTAAATAGTATTTTAGAGTCCTCCATTAGCATTATAGATAAAAGAGTATGTCTACATGATATAGATTACAATACTCTATTTTACATTACGGCCAAACATCACTTACAATGCTCAGATTCCAAGACGAGTAGCTTAAGTCTCCTTATCATTCCTCGTACGTATATTGGTCAATTAAAAAAATGTACTTTCCTATATTGTCTCGGGTCTGGGTGTTGTGGTACCTTCGTTATTTCAGATAAACCATAATACAGGAACTTCTAAATCTTGGAATCTGAGAGATATATGTGACGGTGTCTAAGATTGATTTATTATTACTTATTCTCAGGGTATCAGCTACCAGATCGCTCACCTGCAGACCCAGCTGGAAGCGGCCCGTCTGCTCACATACAACGCAGCCCGGCTCAAAGAGCACGGTGTAGAGTTCGTCAAAGAAGCTGCTATGGCGAAATATTTCGCTTCAGGTACTACTACACCAGGGTTATAAAAGACTATTTTTTTAAATTTGAAATTCGAAGAAGATCATATTTTTATTATTATATTTGATTAGTTTTTCATTCACAATGCTTTACTGAAAAATATTTTTGATGAATTGTGAATGCTTAAAAAATCCACTTTGTGCCTGGCATGCTGAGTAAGAACTTGAACCATTGACCTATCTCAATCCAGGCGACTGCTCTAACCACTAAGTTACCCAGGACCTAATAATAATAATAGTGTTTTTGCTGTATTTATATCAACAATTGAGTTTTTTCATATTATATTAATACAAAGGATTTTTTAGATATTAGAGAAGTTTTTTAGAGATATAGGACAAGATTTTTTTATGAATAAATTCTATTTATTTAACCGTAATTCTATTTATTTAACCGTCAAATGCGGCATGTTTTGTAATACTGACGACATTTAGTGATGGTTAAAGAAATATTTAATTATAATAGAAAGAAAAATCGAGCTATAATATATATCAATGCTTTGATTATATAGGTGCTTATAAGTTACCTATTATAAACAAAACTGGCCAATTTCAATGTTTTTACTCACTTACTAAGGTCTTTAATAAATAGTCAAATAGTGCTAAAACTATTTAGTCCCAAAATTTGAAATTCTTCCAACAAGACCTTTAATTTGATAATGCATACACAACTAAAATACTATTCTAAAAATTACTGAACTATTAATCTCTACTTTTCAGTCATAATGATTCTTAAATGATCTTTTCAGAAATTGCACAGACACTGACCTCGAAGTGCATAGATTTCATGGGTGGCGTCGGTTTCACACGTGACTTCCCACAAGAAAAGTTCTACAGGGATGCAAAGATTGGTACCATATACGAGGGAACAAGTAATATGCAGCTACAGACTATAGCAAAACTACTTGAGAAAGAATATAAACAATAGAAAATATTTTATTTGTTTAAACATTTTTGTATTTTTTTATAGATCAAAAGCAAGTCAGATAACTAAAGAGACAGTTTTTGTAATTAATTATATATCTTAATTAAAAATTGCAGTAATTTTTCCTTCTTTAGTTATCTGCTGTATTGTTATTTGTACTATCTAAGAAGTTCTGTAGAACATGTATATATTCAGTTGAACTGGGTTTTTGCAGCCCTATTGTTAATAAAAACAAATTCCTTATCATCATCGCCTTTTATTTAACCTCCTGTTCTAAACAATATTTACAATAAACTAGTTATTCCTTTGTTTACAATATAATTTTATACATATTCTGAGCTTCTAAGGTTTGGGATCATGGGGTAATTTAAAACCAACCATATTAGCAGTTTCTTGAATACTTCTCTCGCCTTTGCCTTTAAATTCGGTATTGATTTCCTTGTATCTTCTAGAATGGTGGAGGTAATTGTAGTATGTCTTAGCTTTATAATGCATCTCTTCGGCTGCTTTACATAGCTGTTTATCTGTGGTCTGATATTTTCTATATTGACCGAAAATGTACTGAACCATTTGGTTTTCAGACAGTTTCTTTGTAGAACTCTGATGGCGCAATTTGGATAATAGTTGTCGCAATGTAACTAGAGCTGGTTTTGATGCGATAGATGCCATTGTTTAGACCTTTAAACAAATTAAATGTTCAGCTTTTCAACCATGTGTGATGTAATAAATTCTTCTATGTTTTCATATGATGGTTTAATACCTTTATCCCAATAACCTTTTGGAACCTGTTCTAATTTTTCTTTTGGAAATGAATGTAGCGAAGTATCATTAAATATGTCTGTATACTTAAAATTGTTTATAAGGACACTTTCAATTGTGTATGGATGCAATTTATAAATGTATGGAACGGTTTCCAATAGCAATCTGCTTGGATTATTCTCAATTATAGAATTGAAACTATTACCAATGATTATACAATTTTGAATATTGAAAGACCAGTTACTCCATAAGAAGTTATTGGTTAATTGTTTAGGACAATGAGGAAGATACACTAATGTTATGCCGCTATCAGATATGATGTAACTTCCCTCGTTGTTTTGTTCTATTACCTCAAGTCCAAATTGTTTTAGTACATCACATTCGCCTTTGAAAAAGATTGGGTCATGAACAAGCACTGAACGAGGTTTATAAATGTCTTTTAAACATAGTAAAAAGGCCAATTGATACCTGGAAATGTTGCACACCGAGATCTGCCCAAGACCGAAACAAACTATTTCTTTGATATGTTTACCGCTTTTTGCTGTACTTACTATTTTGATTACTTCTTTAAGGTAAGGAGATTGTTGTAAGTCATTAACAGCTGATGTTATATGTCTGAAAATAAGATTCCCAATCATAAATAACCTGAAAATATTACATCAATAACAAAATTAAATTAAAGGTTATCCACCGTGTGATTAACTGGCCGTTAACATCCGATTCTTGTTTCTGAAACTGCACTTTTTGTGGTAATTTAGTTTGTTTATTTTTAGAAGAATGCTTTGATTTTACAATTTGAAAACCATCAGAATCGAATTCAGGTTTTGACATTTTATATAATTATTTTTTTTTTTTCATTTTAATTACAATTGAAGGAATCTACTTTAGACAGCCAAGTTCAAAATATTTTTATTTCCTATGTAAATATTGATTCGATACTTCTATAATATTTTGGATGGTTTTTGGCATGGACATTATGTATCTAGTTTTTGAAAGCATAAAAGTCAAAGACTTTATTAACGAGAAGTATTATGTTTAGTAATGTTAATGTTAGTGGTGGATATATATAAATAAATAAATATGATATGTTGTATTTTCCCCACAGCTTAACGAAAGAAAGACAAAAATGTATTTATTCTAGTGCGCAAACAAATATACATTACACATTTTATAATAATCACCAATTAAAATAAATCTATTACAACCGAAATAGGCAGCCAATTCAGCTCACTGTCAGTTGCTTAACCTGACGCTGATTTTCAATTGGCGCCTAATTGTCTCTCTTTTGACACATGAATGTCGAATGAGGAAGTATTTCAAAAAAACATTAGTTCCTAAAATCAAACTAGATGACGCTACGGTACGTTCTTGATTTCTCCATGACAGACAATCCTTCCGGTTTTCTTTCATGTTATAAATTATTTTTCTAAACTCAATAAACAACTTATATTTTATTTGTACTTTTTCGTATTTGTATTGATATCTAAGTTTCGAACTTTTCAAATTTCAATTTTTTAATATGTTAGTTAAAAGAAACGGAAATGACTGTCTTTAGTCCATTCGTTTCCTGCAAAAATCAACTTTTGCTAGTCGCCATGTATTGGAGGTGTTGTTTTAGTGCTGTCTTTTTTTTAAATACTTTCTCATTGTCGACATGATAACCTCTTACAATAAAAAAAGAGAGAAAAAAGGAAATAAACAAAACATTTAAAAATAGTAGCTAGTTTATTATTTACTTATTTACTTTTCCTGTAGTTAAAACCTTCACATTACATTTATATATAACCGTATAAATAGAAACAGACAAATAAACATGGCATCTGTTTTAAACGCACATGTCAAACTACTATTTTGCCATATTAATTATGGTAGGCGTTATGGTAGCATGATTGTTTTGAAAAAGTTATTTATGCGCTTTCAAAAAAACACCCAGACTCATGAATATATGTTTAAAGAAGATTTTTTAATTTACCCGACCGGGAATCGAATCCGGATGCTCAGAGACGACCTTGAAGTAAAACCCTCAATAATAGAGGAAAGTAATAAATACCTTTCTTATATTTATGACTTGAATAATCATATTCAAAATTACTTTTGTGTAAATTTTCTGCATAGATTTGGCACCTTCTTTCAGTATATTAAGTTTTCAAATCCACTGAGGAAATTTGACAGTTTTATGTAGTTTTAGGTACAAGAAAATTTTACTAGGGAGGTTTATAAGTACCTAGCTGCTGTAAGTTAATATAGGTAATTTGTATTAGACAACATACATACTCGTACATTATTAAGGTTACAAACTTGGGTTTATACCTACTGTACCGCTAAAGCCCTTGTATTATATACATTTGATACAACGAAGGTATGATACCACCTAGACTCGAGACTATAGAGACACGATCATTTTCTAGACTAAACCAATTGAACCCGCGATTTCATATGTAGCAAGCAACATGACACCTTATTGATTAAAATCTATTCTACGCATCTTGGGCACTTGCCTGCCTGCTTATAAATGCTCTGTGTATTTTGATGCGTAGAAAGCATTTCAAACTTGGTCATTCATTTGTATGTCACCTATTTCTCACACAAAATACGTCCTTGGTAAGTTATTTAGGCTAGGAAAATTGTCCACTGACACAGAGGACGGCCCCGACGCATATCAAATACCCATTGTGCTGCTTGTATGGGGTCACAATCAAAATTACGGTCCTAACATTCGAATCACGCATCTGAATCGATTCCAACATACCGTACGAATAAGGCGACAATAAAGTGTATCTACTGGATAATATTATTCGGTCAAGTACGGACAAATGGTGACGGACGTATCCGTATGCTCCTTCCTAAATTCGCGTATTTATTAATTCTAAATTCGAAAAAAAATTTAAACTGTGCTCCAGTTGTTCATTGTATTGCCATTTATTTTAATTCACTTTCTAATTTTAGCTGTAATTTAATGTTAGATGCGTTCGTGATGACCGGCTTAATTGTAATGAATTCTGCTCGCTTCGTTGCGATTTATATAATATTTTAATAGCCACCACTGGTCAACATTTGTTTTCTTAACTAACTTAGTTTTAATACGTCCGAGGACTACGCCAACCGTGTTGTGTTTCGTTGTCGCGTTTGTGAATGTTTTACATTGAAGTTTTTTTAAGTGAGTGCAATGGATCGTTACACGGTGAACCGTCGTTCGATAAGAAATAAGAATAATGATGGATTGTTATCTAAATGGAGGAAGAAATATGTTGGAGGTATCCTGAAAAAGCATACTTGGATTAGCAGTGTATATGATTTGAATGTAAGTGTGGCTATAGCTTGATTAAATACCTTATTAAAAAAAATACAGCGATTTTGCTCAAATCGATAATAATCGTATAGTGATTTTAGCGTTTTTTTGCTAGACAAAATGCCATGATAGAAAACAATACCTATATATTTATATGAAATACAGATGCACAGGTAGTAAACAAGAAAAGCTTTTAGGTAATTTTACGTGGGAAATGAAACGGTCCACCTTTTTACCTACATCTTTCGAAGAACTCAAAATTATAAACAAGCATTCAAACGTCGAACATCAACGTTTAAGTGAAACAGAAGATTAATTATGGAAGACTAAGCTGTATGCACTTAAATCCCTTTGCATTAATCCAAAATCTTGGAGGCAGTGAAACTTACCATACATTAAGTAGTAGTAGTTTCGTCCATGGGACAGGCGAAGGGACTGAGTACCTTACATTAATTTATTATCTGTCAACTTTACGGGCACCAAAGTCAAAGTCAAATTAATCTTTATTTAAATAGAAGTACTTTTGAACCATCCTACATTTTTTCCCTACCTCACGTTCAGGACCTCTTTTGGCTGATCAGAGGAACGAGCAAGAAACTTACCAATTCTAATGGAAATAACGACAATCACAAAACCATGTCTTTATCAGGAAAATACAGTATAAATAAAAAATAAACGTAAAGGTTTAATGTTTTTGGTTAAATATTACAATTTCATTGCTATCAAATCCATAGCCATCATTCGTTAAAGTAAGTACATGTCAAAGTAGTAAAAAGTAACGAAATATACCATACCATAAAATAGACAATATGTCGTATCCTATCCCATTAAGTGGATAGACCTCCTGGAACCAAAAGCGTGGGTAGCCACGAAGTTGGTTCGCGAACGAGTCCCACATACCCCCTGTCGCTTGCCAGGCGGTAGTGGTAGCAGTAGTTTTAATGCATTTCCTCAGCGAATAAAAAACAAAAAAGGGGTCGCATCCATCCCGTTTATAAAAATAGTTAAGCCATGAAATAAAGCAAAATATACACATAGTTATATTCGACTAATATTTAATTAATCAAGATGATAAACAAATATCCATAGCTTTATGCGGAAATATCGGCAGTAGCACATAAATATATTATGAATAACATTAAAAATAATATGGTGTATTCGATACGTGCTCTAATTTCTTTAATTTATTCATATTAATTGCAAAATGAGGATTTTTATTTTTTACTAATCTAGATTTGCAGAACTGTTGTTTATTAGGTAATAAAATCTTTAAACGCTCTTTTTTGATATAATTCCAATATCAGTATTAAGAAATGATATGAAGTATGCATAAAATTATAATAAAATCTTTCTGGCTCTACCATTTGTATCTGCCTGGTTTAGATATCATTAAAAAGTTTAAAATTAAAGAAGATAACTCCGATTTCAAATTAGGAAAATGTGTGATTGTCATTTGTTTTTGTTACTGTCAGAACAAGTTGAACTAATGAAGAAATTCGATACATTTTAAAATTTTGTTACAAAAAGACAAATGCAACGTAAGCTACGAAAAAAAAGTTAATCAACCAGCACGGGTAGCATGACAAACCCGAGAAACGCTTTGTCTACACTCATTTGTCAGTTTCTCGAGTCAAGAGTGAGAAATCGTATGCGCGCCCGAGATAAGTGACATTTGAGTGTAGACAAAACACTCTCGAGTTCTACATGCTACGCGTGCTGGTGCAGTTTCGGTGGCAAAAAATTGGTTTAAGCGTTTCCAGTCTGGAAATGTTGATGTCAAAGATGCATGTCGCAACGGTCACGGATAAAATAGATGCCATTTTTGAAAAAGTAGAGCAAGACCGGCAAATTAATAGTTACTATATAGCTGAAGAATTGGGCATTGACCACAAAACAGTTTTGGCGCATTTAAAAAAAGATGGGTACACAAAAAAGTTGGTTGTTTGGGTACCTCACAAGCTCACAGAAAAAACATAATGAACCATCTACTCCTTTGTGATTCTTTATTACGGCGTAATGAAACCGAACTATTATTGAAGAAATTGATAGATAGCTGGTTATGAAAAGTGGATCACGTACGACAAAAATTTACGAAAAAGGTCGTGCTCAAAGGTCGGTCAGGATTCACAGACTGTGGCGAAACCCGGGTTAACTCACAAGGAGATGCTGTGGTATTGGAAGGGCATTATTTATTATGAGCGGTTACTGCCAGGCAGGACCATCGATTCTGAACTCTACTGCGAACATCTGATGAGACTAAAGTAAGAAGTTGAGAGAAAGCGGTCAGAATTAATTAATAGAAGGGATGTGGTTTTTAATCATGATAACGCTAGACCTCACACACCTTTTACCACTCAGCAAAAATTAAGAGAGATGGCTGGAAGGTGTTAATTAATCCATCGTATAATCTTGGCCTTACACCTTCAGATTTCCACCTGTTTTGGTCTATTCAGAATTCTTTAGGCAGTGTCAGGTTAATATCACGAGGACTGCCAAAACCAATAATGAAAGGCAATATTTTGAAAGATTAAAAAATTTGTAAACGACCCGGAACTTGAACGGAATTTGAATATAATATAACTAAAATATGTCGCCTTTGAGTAAATGTAATATCAATTATATAACACGCATAAGCATAACCAGCTTTCTTATTTAAAACTTAGGATATAGTGTATTTGCATTCAATATGCGTGATAATCGTACTTCCTCATTTGGTACATTTGCATACATACTTTAACTACGAATGAGCACTCAAGAAATATATTTTTTAGAAGCTACGGTTGAATAATAGTGTATTGTCTCAGAGCCGGATCTAAGGGGGTTAGCAAGTGGGAGCACTTGCCTTGGAGGCCAGCGTCATGGCGGCGCCAAAATCATCATAACATAACGCAGTTCAAATTCATATAATTCATAAATTTCGATATTGAAATAGATATTGACGGATACTTCAAAAATATGTGCTCTGTTCATTTTAGTGTTTAACTTCCTAACCAACAATAATTAATTACGATTAACAGAAGTATACCTTATAGTGCTGCCATCTATTGACTAGTAATTCGAGTTTCTTTTCCTAATTTTTTATTTTTCTAATGCTTCCTCATTAAGCGCCGGAGAGTGATCATTGGTTGTTGCTCAGCATCACACGATGTTTTTAAATTACTGTAAACTAATTAGTAAATCGTGGATAGCATATTTGACTATATGTTTAATTTTAAGGTGATATTTAATGTATCATTATTAATGAAAAATGTGTAGTTGTTAGCTATTTCTAATAAAGAGAAAAAAAATATAGAGGTTGATAGTAATAGGTGTAAAAGGACACACTATCAAGTTTCAGTTAGAACAAATCGTAGATCCGGGCCTGTATTGACTAAATATTGGTGTACTTAGCATCGGATATACAAGCACAACTGTTAAATATATCTCAGAAAAGCTTGAAATAAAATCGGTCACCCATACAGGGCCGCTCTCAGGCCCTTGCGAAAGTTGCTTAACTCGCTCAATTAAAATTACACATTTATACTCGCTCCAATGGTTTAGAATAGTTTTTGCCGTGACTTTGCCTGTGTAGATTATAGCCTCTATCACCCGGGTATGATGTAGCTTCTCGTAAGTGAAAGAATTTTAAAAATCGGTGCAGTAGTTTCGTAGGTTATGGAATGCAAACAAACAAACCAAGAAACAACAAAATCTTTTAGTCTTTATATTAGTATACAAATGAGGTGTTTACTAATATAAAGACTTTTTGAATTAACGAAAAAAACTGGATACAAATCACAGACATCTATGGTACTGATGAATTCTAATTGATAACATACTGGCTTTTTCAAACCAAATAATCAATAAACTTCTTGGAATCAATAATAAAAAAATCAATTTGCCAAAATGGTTAGACTTTCCATTAAAGTATGGACAGAGTACCTAAATCAAGTTAAAGAAATATATCAACGTTATTGACTTAGAGCTTTTACAATCAATCTTTTTAATGATACGACAATTCATCACAGAAGACGAACCGTCTATTATCCGTGTAATGAAATAATGAAACAATTATTAAGTTTCATTTAGTCATCGGTATGATCACACTACACTTACAGGCCCCGAAGTGCTAACTAATGCGCTATCGAGTAGATAAGTAAATGAAACGTAATTTATATACCGCCACAAACTTTCGACCTGAAAATTAACCATAAACTAAATAGACCACAAAACCGCTATTAACTGCATTGTAGAAATGTCACGTATACCGGCTAATATTACATAAGCACCAATAACTATACGTGACTATCTAAACGTTGAAATATTGAGTTATATATCGATTTATGATTAAATTAAAAAAAAACTCTTCTTTTTCACTTTAAGTTACAGTGAGTTTTGTTTCTTGAATATTATCCAGATTCATCAGCTGATTTTTATCCCGGCTACTGAACCACAGACCTTCTCAATGTATGAGAATTCTTATATATTAAGAAACACAGTTTCCAAGTAATATTACTGACTATGCAAAAATTAAAAAACAAAGGTCAACAATATTAAAAAAAAATATTCTAAAGAGGCTACCGCGAATGGATTGCATATTTAGCTGGAACCAACCACAATAAACAAAGAAGTTATCATGTCTTCTGAAGCACGGAAAGGCATGAGACATTGTTTAGTTTAAAAAAAATTGACCAAAATTAACAAAAGAAAAAAGTACTCAAAATTACACTAAAAGTAACTTTAGTCAAATAAATAATCATATTTTAACTACTCTTCTATACATTTAAAAATGAAACAAAGATCCATAACTTACAAGTCAACCCTAATAGGAATAATTCAAGACAGGTAAATCTAGTACGTATCAAGTTATCCAGATTAGATCTTTGACCGCCTGGAAGGTGTATTGCATCGGTACACGGCAAACTTATTTTACATGTTTGCTAAGGAAATATGAACTATATGAACTGTTAAATAAAAACCTAAACTCGTTAAATTCGCGACCTTATTAAATGTTGCGACAGTCGGTCCTACGG